CCGATCCGACTTGACAGCGGTGTGTTTGGTTTTGGTTTATACCTCATGAGGCTGTTATTGGGATGAAATGAGGTAATTTTCAAAGGGCTCATGGGAAGTGCATGGCATTATGTATAAATTTGCTGAATCTGTCTATTCACACCTAAAACAGACTGATAGAGACAGAAACTGTGTCATGGACTAAGGAGTGTAATTAACTCAATTCTTTGCACCAGATGCCCACAATAAATAAAATAAAATGAAACTTCTCATCTACACTAGGGAGCCTGGTAGCATAGTTCCTAAGGTATTTGACTGCTAACCAGAAGGCTGGCAGTTCAAACACACCAGTCACTCCTTGGAAGGAAGATTGGGCAATCTATCTCCATAGAGATACCGCCTCAGAAACCCAAGGAAGGGAAGGGTCACTACGAGTTGAGTCAACTTGACAGTAATTTTTTTTTTTTTTTTAAATCTGCAGTCAACCAAACCCACTGTTCTTAAGTCAGTTCCTACTCATAGCAACCATATAAGACAGAATAGACTGCTCCACAGGGTTTCCAAGGCTGTAAATCTTGTACAGAAGCAGACTACCACATTTTTCTCACATACAGAGTCTGATGGGTTTCAACTGCTGACTTTGGGTTAGCTGTCAAGTGCTTTAACCACTGCACCATTGAAATGCCTTAAACCTCTGACAGAGTCCATAGAAGGTCCTTGGGCAGCACAAATGGTTTGTGCCTGGCTACTAACTCGAAGGTTGGCAATTGGAACCTATCCAGAGGCACCAGGGAAGGCACCTGGTGTCCTGCTTCTGTAAAGATTACAGCCAAGAAAACTCCCAGGAGCTCGGTTCTACTCTGAATGTAAGGAGTCACCCCGAGTGGAATCAATTCAAAAGAAACAAGTTTTCTTTTTTGATAGGGACCCTATATTCATTTCCTTGATGGGGACATTCTGTCCAGAGAAGTGAAGAGTGTGTCCTAAGTTGAAGCAGGGCCTCTTGAGCTGCTCTCTTGACGGTGTTGTCTTTGTGCACAGAATGTAGAGGCTCCACGAAGACGCTAGATGGATGAGCTCAGTGAGTCAGGAGTCCCTCATTTCTGGGAATACATACAACTGATAGATTGACTGTATTTGTTTTCCTCTGCAGCACCAGATCCCGAACTAGCAAATGTTTCATCTGTAGTAAATTTCTCAATTAGCCACCAGCTCCAGTATCAGGGATTGGAAGGAAAACTGAAATCTAGATATAATTCAAAGATTTCAACCAAGTCATACTTTCAACCTTCAGAAGGGTCTCTCACAGGCAGAGGCACAATAAATGTTGGCTTATTATTTAAAATTACTTTCTCTTCTTTTCAAAAAGGATTTGAAGCAATTTATTTGTTCTCCTTCAAGTCATCTACAAAAAGCACAAGTCAAAACCCAGGCTAAGGCAAAATAACCTAGACGTTAACAACAGTGAATTAATTCATAAACTGCTGGAAGCTAAGCCTTTAATGTACTTTCTCTTGTTTGGATCTTATAAGGAGTGTATGAGGTAGGTATTACCCCCATTTTACAAAGGCAAACGAGCATTGGCAGTTCAGTGGAAGGAGTCTTGCCTTTCATACGGAAGACCTGGGATCAGTTCCTGTCCAATTTTCCTTATGTGCAGCTACCACTCCTCGTCTGTCAGTGGAAGCTTGTGTGTTGCTATGATGCTGAACAGGTTTCAGCAGAGCTTCCAGACAGACTAGAAAGAAAGGCCTGGTGACCCTCTTCCAAAAACCAGCCAATGAAAACCCTAAAGATCGCAACCAGTAATGGGGATGGTGCAGGATTGTCCATGATCTGCAGCTATTGTAATACAGAGTGAGGGTTCAAACCCAGGTGGCCTGACTCCATAGCTGGTTTTCTTTCTGTTTTATTGCATTGGAAAGCCAAGAGCCAGAATGACTTCCAAAACAACTGAAGCAGTGAGGGAAAGGCACTAGGTCCCAATGCCAACTCCTAAACACTAAGACTTTTGTGAAGCCAAAAAAGGTGGATGGTGGAACATAATAGCCTGTGTTTTTCTGCAGAATTGACACATTTTGCAGAGGTTTTGCTGTTTCCCAGGCATCACTACCCCGAGTGCCAAGCTCTCATGACTCCAGGCTCAGCTAGCAGCAGGCTTCACAGTCACTCTGTGTGCCTGTCCAGGAAGGTTGGCATTGAGCTAGGTCTTTCATAATCCCAAGCTTCTTGCCCCCAAATAATCTTGTACCCTGTTCTCACCGGCTGGCTTGTGTCCCATTCCTCATAAGGCTTCAGAATCACAGCTCTACATTTTTCATTTAGCACTAGCAACTACACACTATGTGTCTGTGATCTCCAGGCAGCTTCCAGGAACTCTCTGGATCAAAGTGCAGAGGAAGCAGTTACCGATTTCATTTCCTAGGTGTCTTTCCTCCTCAGGTTCTTTAGGCTTTGGGACATGCCCTGATGCTGGAAGGCTGCAGAGCAAGTATCTGTGCTGTGTGAGTGTCAGGGAAGGCTGAGACAGACCCTGAACCCTGACCAGAGGGCACTGCCAAGAGGGGAACAAAGAGGCCCCAGGAGGAGAGAAAGCCTCGAGATGGCCTTGTGCTGGGTTGGCCGGGGGGCTGCTGCACTTCCATTTTCTCCGTTAGCTCCTTCATGCCTCCAGATGAGTTACTTTCACTGAAAATGAAGTGACAGTAGCCACATCCAAGTTGAAAGTGATAATCCATGGGTGCCCAGGCACTCAGTGCAGGGTGGCAAGACCAGGACAAGGAAAGACAAATAAAAATAACTTCCAAATCATGCCATTTATTTTTCTTAATTGGATTTTACAGCTCATCTGAGCTTCTGCTCATTTCTCTGAGGAGCTATAGAATTTGAGTGAATGTTTTCTGTGTTCTTTGTCCTTCCCCCAAATGAGAACATGCAGAAACACATACATGAAGGACAGATAAGAGCATACTGGACTCTAGTTTTTACTTTTCCCTTTGGCTTCACGGTGACACACATTTGTTGCCACATATCCTTAAAAAAAAAAAAAAAAAAGTGATTAGGACAGGATCCCTGCATGGAACGTCGACAAGAGAAGGCAGTGGGAAGGGAAGCAGTGAGCCCCTTTACCACCCCACTTCCTCACCCATCTCTCTCCTTCACTCTTGATCTTTACAAAGAAAGATGCAAAGAAAGAGTACGGGGCTAGTAGAGTCCCTGCTAAGCTACAGGGCATTTTTGTGCCAGGTGAAAAGAGGCAGATACACGGCTTCTTCTTTGTGTGGAGCATGGCTTGCCGGGTGGATCCCAGGCCCCGCCTGCCCCCTTGCCCTCATTTATGGGTGTCCTCGTGTATATGCTGTAGCCCCTTAGGCTTTAACAGCTTCAGGGTTAAAAGACCATGAAGGAAGAAGTATCTTCCAAAATTTTTCAGAATGTCCGTGGTCCTGTTGGAGACCAGAGTCTCTCACAAGGAGGTCCCAACATGATCGCTGTGTAAGGGCAGTAGTGATGCTGTTCTGGGCTACAGGGGTATCCAGCCCACTACCATACATGCAACCTACTCCTTGCATCTGGATTCTGCTTTATTTCCCAGGGTGGGGATGCAGACATGGTGGAAAGAGGCATGGCAAGCACCAACGAGGGAGACAACCTTCCCAGCACAGGAGTCCCTGCCTGGGACCCGTCCGTCTCTTACTTAAGAGTCATTGTATCTCACTTCATGAATAAAGAAAGCTGGGATTCTCTGTGGCTAGCCTTAACAGGAAATGATCCTGGCAAACCTTAGCTTCCTTAATTCATGGATTCATGAAAGCAGAGATGAGAAAGGGTATGCCCTTCTCCTGAATGATGGTGCCGTTGAGAGGTGTCACTGGTTAACCTGACAGCTCAGAGACCAAGGCTGTGTGGATATCATTTCTCAAGGATATTATAGGGCTGCAGTTTACAAGCTACCAAGTTGGACTCTTTGCTCTGGGAATTTAATGTGTGACAGCTGTGTGCAGCCAGTGGTGTCCAGCATTTTAAAAAGGTCAATTAAGAAACGGTTGATGGTGGCACAGCTAATGACAGCCCAGAGGGGTGAGCAGGGCCAAGTAAACAGAAGAGCCGAGATGTATATTACTGGAATTGAAGTGTCCAAGTGAAGCGTAGAGGGAAGGAAATCTATTGTCACAAGCCATAAAGTATGTCCAAGTTGTGCAGCTACAGTATACAGCTGTGCTCCTCCCCAGGCTGTGTGGGGAAGTGTCTGTGAATGGAGGGGTTGGCTGACAAAGGGGACACATGCATCAGCACGATTAACCTGCAGACAAAAACCGTGGCCCTCCTTGCTACCTGTTCCTCTGCACTCTCTGCTCTCTCACAGGTGAGCATGAGGTAGATGCTAAAGTGAGATTCAGAATGCGGGTCATGTTCTAGAAATCCATATTTTACACATTCCCCCAATGCTGTGTGCTGCCCACTCCTCACAGTGTGTGTGGGTGGGCAGACAGCCAGGAGCCTGAGCACCAACCCAAGCAAAAGGCTTTGCTCAGAAGACAAACCAATTCCCTGGCTTCAGTGGATGTACAACGTGGGATCCGAATGGGACCTTTTACACAGCAGTCAGTGCAAGGGGGCATGGATCCCTTAGAAGAGGTCTATTTCAGCCTGTGACAGAATTGGCTCCTGGTTGGAGAAGGCACTGTGCAGAGCTTTTTTTTTTTTTTTTTTTAAACCAGACAAAGGAGTCTTACACTAAGAGCATGGCTGCCAGGACAGGCTTTTTTGCCACATCTACCTGTCAAGCTAGAAATTCAATAGAGCAGTGGAAATGCTAATTGATATGCAAAACAGGTCCAGAGTTCCTAGACATGTCTAATGATACTCCAATTCATTATGAATGCAGAATTAAGACATACAAAATAGATGGGAATAATAATACTAACCTTTTTGCTTTTTTTTTCTTTCAGTTTTCAAAGCTACTTTGGGAAACTTTGCAGGTCTTATGATTTAAAAAAAGAGTATTGCAATCAGTGGAGTTTGTCTTTTACACACTGTATATTTATTATTAGAAAATAGCTTCTATCAGCTGTCAGTACTAAACAAGTTGACAGGAGCGTGCTTCTCACCATAATTTTTTTTCCCCCTTTTTAATGGTATTTAAATAAACAGCTCACTGTGTGGAGAGTTGCCACACCTATTTTTTTTTCTTTAAAAATGGAATAATTAGATGAGGTTTAATACAAAACATCCTTCCAATCTGACTTGTTCTGAAGTCATATGCTGTCTCTTTGAGGAGAAACATGAAAGAGATGAAAAAGACCACTCAAGCTATCAAATTGCCCCGAAGAATATACAGTAGAAACCAGGAAACAAATAAACTAGCCAAAACAAAACCCATTCAAACCAAGAAACCAGTTTTTACATTGGTTTTTCGATTTTGATTATTGTCTAAGTTTAATATATATATATATTTGAAATAGTAATAAAAAAGGAAGAATTGCATCCTTAGCAGGACCACCTTCCTCATATGTTAAAGAGGTGTTCAGAAAATTCCATACAGTATCTGCTAAATAAACATGTTTGGCAGCTTAGCAAATATCATATGATTGCAGCATCCATGATTTGAAGTAAAACAGCATTTGCTTTCTTTCGGCAGAGTTCGTTGCTCAGGGCAATGTACTAATGCATCTCTGGCAGTTCTTAGACCCACAGGCTTAAGGAAGGGTTTAGGAGTGGCTCAGTGCATGGCCCCAGTGCAGAAACTTCCAGACCCCAAACAATGAATCAATCAACCACCCACACAAGCATCAAACAATTGTCTCCTTTGAGTTCCTCTTGACCGAATGGAGGCCCAGCAAGGACTGTTGATTAGAAGGTACATTGACAGACTTTGGAATGAGGAGAATCACCCTCTGATTGGTCCGACGCCATTCGTTGTACAATCGACAGTGGTACCTAAATGACACCTGGGCGGGAGAGGAAAAATAAGGGAAGTTTTCAGTCAAGGAGAAATTGACCATCAATCCAAGAAATAAGTTATTCAAAATAGCTGGAGACAGCATAACGGTAGAGGGCAAGAACCCTGGGTGAAACTGCTCTAGGAAGGAGCTGAGTGCTGGGAGACTGGGCACCAACCAAAGAACACCCATGGGTAGGGCTCACTTGGGTGGCTTCCTTTGTTTCTCCTCAAATTGAGTAAGATCATGATTTGAATAGGAAGATAAGGTTCTTTTTAAATTTGGATGTATTTTCAAGCAATGGTATTCCAAGCCTCAAAGCAGCAAGTCATCAAGGAAGGAGAGTGACTGGATGTAACCAGGTAGAGTAAATACAGCACGAGCTTGTGTCCAGCTGTGTGATGTACCTTTCTGGGCCTCAGATTCTTCTTTGTAAAATGAGAGGACTCATGTATACTCCTGCAGGTCAGAGGATCCCATTCCTACTGAATACGATATGAAGGGGACCCTCTTACTGTGCCATGGGCAGGTCACACAGTTGTTCTTGGTAGCCCCGAGGGGTGAAACCTAACTGCCTCTAGCTCCAGAATTCTAAGGCTTCCAAGTGAGAAGATTCAGCTTGGGCACTATTACGTGGGTTGAACTGTCCCCCCTCCCCAAAAGATATGTTCAAGTCCTAGCCTCTGGTACCTGTGAATGTGACCTCATTTGGAAATAGGGTCTTAGGAGATGTAATCTATTTAAGATGAGGTCATAATGAATTGGGGTGGGGTCTAAGCCAGTGACTTAGAATAGGGATATCACAGCTGGTATCAGATGGATTTTGGCTGAAAAAAAAATACCAGAAAGATGTTAACTTGTGTTTTACTAACTATGCAAAAGCATTTGATTGTGTGGATCATAACAAATTATGGATAACATTGAGAATGAGAATTCCAGACACTTAATTGTGCTCATAAGGAACCTGTACATAGAACAAGAGTTTGTCATTTGAACAGAACAAGGGGATACTGCACAGTTTAAAATCAGGAAGGGAGTGCATTAGGGTTGTATCCTTTCACCACACTTATTCTATTTGTATGTTGAATAAATAATCCAAGAAACTGGACTATATGAAGAAGAATGTGGCATAAGGATTTGAGGAAGACCCATTAACAACCTGTGATACGCTGATGACACAACTTTGCTTGCTGAAAGTGAGGATGATTTGAAATACTTACTGATGAACATTGAAGTCTGCAGTATGAATTACACCTCAATATAAATAAAACAAAAATCCCCACAACTGGACCAATAAGCAGTATCACAATAAATGGAGAAAAGATTGAAGTTGTCATATAAGACTTCATATTACTTGGTTCTGCAACCAACACCAATGGAGGTAGCAGTCAAGACATCAGAAGATGTATTGCATTGGGCAAATCTGCTGCAAAAGACCTCTTTCAAGTGATGAAGAGCAAAGATGTCTCCTTGAAGACTAAGGTGTGTCTAACCCAAGCCATGGTATTTTCAATTACCTCATATGCAGTCCTTAAGGCATTTGACTGCTAACCAGAAGGCTGGCTGTTCAAACCCACCAGCCACTCCTTGAAAGGAAGGTTTTGCAATCTACTTCCATAGTGATATCGCCTCAGAAACCCAAAGAAAGTATGAGTTGGATCCTACTTGATGGCAGTGAGTGTGGCTTTGGTGGACATAAGGCATTCATGTACTGCCCAGGCAATTAGAGTCTATACTTTTGAAGTAGAAGAAAATGGCCTTTAATAATGGGAGTAGGTTCCATTTGCATGCATCCAGATGACCACGTAAGTGCTGGGATGGCAGCTGCCCATGAGCTTAGGGTGCCATATTCTCTGGTTCTGGGCTCTTTTATTGCCTAGGAGTGGGGAGTGGGTTGCACAGACACCAGTACAGGGTCCACAGTGGTCAGAAATTGAGCTGACCTGATGCTTTGAGTTTAGCATTTCTGGAAGGAGAGGAGAGCACAAGCCCTTGATCAGAAGGGCTTGCTAGTCTCATGGCAAGATCATGAAATTCAAGGCCACTCACTCAAATTCCTAAGGCTAGAAAGCAGATACAGCATATGATGCAGGCTGAGTGCCAGAGAGATCTGGATATGAAAATAATATGCTTTTAAATTCAAACAGATGTGCTTATTTCCAAAAGGCCTCAAACATGCCAAAGTAGATTAAAAAAAAAAAAAAAAAAGCAAACAAAAACAAACTTGGTTCTCTTATATCTATTCTGTCCTGCTACTGCTTGGTGCTACTCTTGAATGTAAGAGAAGCAAGTTGGAAAGCCAGCTGTTCAGGACCAAGAGCAGGAAAGAGGTAGAACACAGACAAGTGCTAATGAAGAGCTTTGGCAATACAAAATATCTGGGATCTAGAAATATTACAGGAGCGGTGAGTTTCAAATCAAGTGTCTTTTTGTCCAGGATGTTAAAAGCTGTGCACACTTGGCATTAGTAAGCAGAGAAGTAGCTGAGGGGTGAATAAGCTCTGGTAACATAGTGCCTAAGGCACTTGACTGCTAACCAGAAGGCTGGCAGTTCAAACCCACCAGCCACTCTTTGGAAGGAAGATGGGGCAATCTACTTCCATACTGATAGTGCCTTGGAAACCCAAGGAGGGGTCGCTATGAGTCAGGTCCAACTTGACAGCACATAACAACAACAACAACAACTACAGTATAGGGCAGTGTTTCGTTCTGCTGTGCATGGGGTTGCTATGAGTCGGAAACAACTCGACAGCACATAACAACAACTACAGTGTAGGGAGCAGGCCTGAGCTCTGTGGCCAGGCACACCAAAAAAAAAAAAAAGAACCCAACCCAAACTCACTGCCACGGAGTCAGATTGGACTCATACAGGGACCCCTCCTTGGGTTCCTGAGGTGATTATCGCTACAAAAGTAGACTGCCCAACCTTCCTTCCAAAGAGTGGCTAGTAGGTTTGAACCTCTGAACCACCAGCCTTCTGGCTAGCAGTCAAATACCTTAGGCACTATGCCACCAGAGCTCTTAGGGCCCAGGCACAACAGGGGTTACTTGCTGTCTCTAAGCTTCACTTTCCTGCTTTGTAAAACAAGAATAGGGTAACCGAGACAATCCATATAAGGCACTTGGCACAGTGCCTGGCACACGTTTCATTTTCTGGACATCTTACTTGTCATGTGTTAAGTATGGAAGAGAATGTGATGCTTCTGTGATACCTCTTTTCAGATACAGGGAAACTAAAAAGGCAAAAAAAAAAAAAAAAAAAA